GAAACAAATTTGGTGCTATTCTCAACTAAAATGCCCTCCCTTGGCCAAGGATAAGCCCATATTTCCAGCTAGAAAATCATATGCTGCCTTCTCAGACCACAGACACCCAAGGAGTAAAAATGATTGAAGTTCACACCTTCTAGAAGCACCCCACTGCTACCTAAATCACTAGAACTGCCATGTTCGTATGTTCTTTAGCTTCTATTTTAATTCTATTGAATCCTTCATATCCTTCCTACAAAGATTTTCTTGGCCAAGCCAGAATTATTTTCTTCAAAATCAAGGAACGTCAACTACTACAGCCTTGCATTATTCTTTAAATGTTCCCATGATTTTGAATTCCTTTTCTAAGTTGTTGCAAACTATAGTATATTTTACACTTTTGAATACTCCACAGCCCCTTGTAAATTATTAGATACACAAAAAGCTTTCTAATAAATATTGGTTAACTGATTCATAGAATATTTTTAATCATTTTTTTAAGCATGTGAATTGTTGCTGATAGCAACTTGAAGGTCAGAAATATGACATATATATCCTTGACACCAATCCTGCCATCTGCAGAGAAAGGGACGATACTGGGTGAAGAACAGAACATCCTTGATTCTTTCTGATAGATGGATTGGAAATGTCATAACTCTACTGTATTTTTATGTATATTTTCTAAATCCTCCATAAGTATAACTAAACCCTTATCTAAAATTCTGTATCACTTTGTCACATGGTCTCCATATATTTAGCCAGTAATGGATTCACTCACAATACCTGCATTAAATGAGCCTAACCTGTGCTAATTTTCTTAATAGATACATTGCACTAAAAGCTCATTAGAAATTTGTGGAAGCCTTTTTCCAAATATTTCTCTGAAATTCAGCTGAACTGAGTGAAGTATCTGTGTGTGGCTTTGCATGATATATAGTTACCATTAGCTGGTGACAAGACAGAGTATTTAAAAGAAATTCATGTTTTATGTCTCCTTCTTAATGAATCCATGTTGGAATTTAATGAACAGCAGTTATGTTTTATAATGTTTTGTGACCATTTGGGGAGAAATATGTTCTAGAATTGATCAAAGTCAAATTCAGTGCCTATAATTTTATCCTTTTGAAAATTGTGATTTTCGGTCTAACTCTGGCTTCTTGGAATATTTTTGCTCTCTAAATAATCTCTTCAAAATTCCCAATTCTGCCATTGCTGTGATGATTTCCTTTCTGAAATCATTTGAAGATGAGTCATTCAGTACCTCCCAGTGGGTGATAGCAGGTTTTTGGTCCAAGATACAAGAAGGATGGAGTTGAATCTAATTGAGATGGGAACATCATAGAAAGAACATTTTTAGGGGAATACTAGTTATTGAACATTTTACCTTTGAATGCCTAGTAAATGTCCAAGTAGAGATACTAGTTAGATAGTTGGATGTAGACATGTGGGACTCAGGAAAAATCTGGGCTGGGAGTAATCAATATGTAGATGGCAATTAAAGACATGAAGTTGTATGGATTGAAGTAGGGGATGGCTATGTAAACAGGAAATTTCCAAGATTGAGTTCTGGGGCACTCTGATGTTCACAGGTCCAAGGCAGGGGAGGAGGAGATATGGAGGAAGGTCCAGCAAGAGACTGAGACATAGATAGAAAACCAGGTGAGTGTGGTATCCCTAGAAGCTAAGAGAAGAAAGTATTTTCCTTAACCCTCGGGTTCTCAGACTTTAAACTGAGAGTCTGTTTGTTGGTTCTGTAAGATCCCCACAATTCTATTTTATGAGAATTCCTATGTCCCCCAGGAATACTCTAAACAGATCTGAGACTAACTCCTTAAGATGCTGCACTGCCTCTGACATGGCCAGACTGCAGTGGAAGTGGGGGTCAGAAGACCTCATTTCTTGTGACAGCTCCCTTGTTGTCACCAGTGGGACCCAAGACAAATTACTTTACCTTCCCATAAAGTGGTCATAGCCATCGCTCCCTGCCCTACCTGCAGGTTAATGAAGGACCAAAGGAACTCAGAAGTGGATAAAGTGCCTTGTACTCTGTTGGGCAGCGTACCAAGGCAGCCGTCCATTGCTATGACGGAGGTTCAAAACGGCCACTGTTTTCTGCTCTGAAGGCCCAGGGAAGCCAAGCCTCTTAGCAAATGCCCAGGGAATCACGAGACCCAATTCTGGCTGGTGTATCGTTTTACAAGTTACTTCTCAATAGATATCTATTCTTTTTAGAAATACTCTTTTTAAATACTCTAAAATCTTGTTTTAAAAATACTGACACCTAGAATTCTATAATTAATGTGGCTCTTTCTATTTCAAGAAATTCTTCACTATGGTAGGTCACAAAACATGATACATTTATAGAATGCTTTTCCAAATTAACACCATTGTGTCTTTATATCTACATACATTATAGCCCTGTCACTGCTTTTAAGCCCTTTAATGTATTTGGGGGGAAAATCATAAATAAAAAAAGAAAGAGAGAGAGACTGTATTACCAGATGTAGATTTTTAATATATGGTGCTCAATGCATTTTTATTTTTCAAATTTTTTTTTCCAAATCCCACCAAAAAATAAATAAAAATTAACAACATCTTGTAAATTATCTATATTCACCTTCAATATCTTAAGGTACACAATTATCAAAGCTGATATTGAACACAAACAAATTGATACAATTCAGTACTCTGATAAAATTCATAGTCAAATAAGTTATGTTAAACTGCATGCAATGCTTTATGTTCCACAGCATCTTTACTATAAACTGTATACCAAATGGCTCTTCAAACATGAAAGTGCAATTACAGAGTGCAAAAAAAACAAAAAGGAAAATACGTTATCTTACATTTAACATCATCAAATTTGAATAACAGATATGTTTTAGATACAATTATTCTTTAGTTAAAAGTTTTAAAATGTACTTTAGAAACACTGTTTATACAAGTTTTTACTCCCCTTCTCTTGTATGAATAAGAATAGAAAAAAGTCAGAAAATATTGGGCGGCAAATTAAACACATTTTTCTTTCAAAAGTCTGCAGAATGGGTATTGGCGCAAAAATTACAAAATGGGTCAGATGCAGGTTATTTTAAACTGCATTATTATATTCAACAGAAATTAGACACCAGAATCATGTATTTGCTGTATAGAAATTGATTTATCACCTGATGGCAGCTGAATTTAGTTAACTCTCTGGGAGACCATAAATTATGTGCTTATGCATTTAGGGTTGCTTTGGTTCTCACACATTGAATGTGCATAGTCCCTTCTAGAAATATATATATATGTAAAAAATAAGAAATCTGTGAAATAAGGAAAATAGACTAAATATGAGCCAAAATCTTTTCATTGTCTATAGAATACATGAGCTGACAGCAATCATTTTCTATGTTTAATCAGGATTATCCTCACTAAAACACCTATTTTTGACTTATTTTCACCCACAAAAAAGAAATCTGGTTATCCTTTATTATGGAACATGCATTTATAAATAAAGATTCAACTTTTTCAGGAGTTAGTTTTTAAAGTATTCTTAAAAGAAATACCCCAAACTATTTGCATTTATCTATTTAAGCCATATGAATTGAGATGCTCAAGATAAACCAAAATACCAAAGTGGAGATGCTACAATAAACCTTCTGCAAATGAAATAAATGGATTGAAGCTGAGTTCTTGGTGAGTCAATAAATTTTCTTTGAAACAGCCAAGATAACTGAAAATAGGCAAACTTCCTTTATATCGACTAGATGTCAATAAATACAGTCATCCCTTGTATCCTCAGGGGACTGATTCCAGGACCACCTTTCTGGGGATACTAAAATCAGGCATGGATACTCAAGTCTCTCATATAGAATGGCTTTGTATTTGCATATAAGCCATGTACATCCTCCCGTATGCTTTAAATCATCTCTAGATTATTTATAATACCTAATGTAAATGCAATGTAAACAGTTATACTATATTTTTATTTGTATTATTTTTTATTGCTTTTTTTTTTCAAATATTTTCCACCCATGGCTGGCTGAATCCACCAATGTGGGTCTCGTGGATACGGAGGGTTGACTGTACGTATAGGATCTAAAATATGTCCTCACACAGCACATGTGACTTTGGCTCTATTAAATGGGAAACAGAAATATCCTTTTAGAACTCACTGATTTTTATTTTATTTTCCTTTATCTCGTTCTAAAGTTTTATAGATTGGTTAATAGAGCAACAAAGGAGTGTAATTCTAGGATCAGTTGAGCTCGTGCACACATATGTGTTTGTATATGAATATGTGTATATATATTTTGTTTGTTTGTTTTGTCTGCTTGTTTTCCTCACAGTAAGGGCCGGGTTCAGGACTTCAGATGGGAGTCATGTGATCACACCAGCGTATATAACTCATGGATACACATGGAGGCAAGTCCTGGCACTGGGTATTCCAGAGGTCAGACATGGCTTATTATCTCTTTATTGCCCTAGCACATGCTAGGAAGGAAGGCGAGGAAGAGCAGATCCTCCCTGATCTGGTATGTGATCCAGAGAGACGCTCCCCAAAGGTTTACCATTCAATGAAGCAGCCTCCCATGAAATCCAAACCTGGTGACAGCAATGGCTCCTTAGGCAATTGCCTAAAATACTCTTGTTAATCCACTGAGATCCATGGGCTCAGAGTACAGAAGAAACATTAGTCTCTTCCAAAAATAAACAAATAACAGAAAGAAAGGCCCCAGTTTCATTTCAGCCTCCATAGGAAGGTGTGGTTAAGTCTCTAAATTTTAAAAGCTTTCAAATGAGTTTTTTATTGGAAAAATATACTTTGATTTATTTTTCCTATTTTTCCCACTTCCTGTGTCAAGATGTAATTTTAAATATACAAATTTAAATTCTAGAAGAAGCTACTTACTGAGCTATTTTTAAGTGAAAGCTCTCTTGAATAGAAAATGAAATAACTTTATTTCCATCTTTATACAATATATAGAGCTATTGTCTTATTAAATTTTAAAATAATAACTAGTCGAGTCCATCACATTTTGGACTGTGATTTTATCTTAGAATTCTTCAACAAAGCCTCTAGGAAACAAGCACAAATTTTAGCTTCAAGTGTGGATTTTTTCCTAATTGTTGGAATACCAACAATGACCTCACTTAAATGTTGCACTATACAAAAAAAGAACATTGTGAAACTATGAAATACCCACTGTTTACATAAAAGATGGCATAAAATCAAGTTTTTCAATTCATTTCATGTAAGGAGGATCTGTTAGGGTGGCGGGTGTTCATAGGACTTGTGTGTTCACACAGGGAACTGTCTGCTGCCCCTCCAGGCTGATAAACCGAGTTATAGCTGAGAGGGTTGAAGAGACCCATAGCCTCCCTGGGCTTAGTTTATTTCAAATGTGTAGTGTTTAGCACCTATATTTGGACCTATATTTGTTTCTCCCGAATTCCAACTGCATTACTGTTTTAATACATGACACAGTGGTGCCAACTAATATATCAAACCATGATATGGTCAAACCAATTATCGTTGATGTGAAGAGTAGAAAAAAACATAAATCGATTTGAATATCTGTATGCAGGCTTACAGAAATCTGTCATTTGCTGACACTTCTTAAGCTATGACCTGGGCATTGTTCACTCCTACGCACTGTGCAGCAGGAATATAAGCTCTGAAAGCTTTCGATAAAGCATTTAGTGCAGGAAATTATTTCTTACAAAAATATCAATTTTCTTTTGATATTAAATATTTTCTGCACATTATATATTAGCAAATAGTCTGTCACAAATAAAACAAAAATAAAAAACATTTTTCAAGTATATTAAAATTAAAAATACACTGTTGTTGACCTGACACGTGACCCAACATAAATATTATTAATAAAATAGGAATATTAACATTAAGCAGGCAGGCTGTGCATCCTTGCCCGTAAGACTGACAGTGCCATTCAGACTTGTGACAACGCTGGATCGCCTGAGGTCACCCTCTCATATTCGTTCTTTGGCTCTTTACTTTTTCGATTTCTGTACCTGGAAATATTCAGAAATGAAACTGTTAGCATTGCAGTTAAGGCTAATAACAAAAAACCCAAATATATGGACGACAAAGGTACATTAGCATACCATTTCCAAAATGACAAAGGGGAACAGATTTAGGTTGGACAAGATAAAAAAAAAAAAAAAAAGTGTGGGAGTAAGGGGTGGTGTTCTATAGTCAAAAATTTTGGAAGAAAATAGTGAAATAGTTAAAAGACTTCGCAAAGGCATTAACATGATTATAAATATAAAATTCCAGGAAGGCATGTGACCACATTTAAGCCTGGATTTTATTTTTTGTTCTCTTTCTCTCTCTCTCTCTCTCTCTCCCTCCTCTCTTCCCTTTTCTTTTTCATCCTTTTCCTCTTTCTTTCTCCTTTGCTACTGAGGAACTGGCATTTCAAATGTCACAGAACATTACTATGATACATTTCTACGCATCGCACTGATATACTATCACCAATAAAAATTAAAATAATGAATATTTATTAGGCACTAATTAGGTGACCTACAATGCTCTAACTGTTGTAAGCACATAATTTATTCTATCCTCACGTTTGCCATTATTACCATCATTCCCACTCTTTATTTTTCCCTCAGTCTTTAGCTTCTGACAATACTGTACATGAGGATGGGTATGATTGTTTTGGAGGACTGGTAACAGTAAATGCTTATAATTGGCAACTCATTTCTATGAGTCTGTCTTAAATTTTAAGATCCTAAGCCTTTGAGGTTATTAATTTACAAGGCTGGTGTTTCGTGAAATTCGAAATTTCACCTAATAAATTAAATATAGGTTGCTAAGTAAAACATCATGTTTTATGGTTTACTTTTACATGTAGTTATCATCTTCAATACTCAAAATAGCCCTGCAATTAATTTCTGTCTGTATTTTCTAGAGGACAGATTGAATACTCCCCGTGTGACTTGCATAAAGTCACACAGGTAATAAGTAACAGAGCTAATGACAGAGTTAAAGCCAGACGTTCTGCAGCTAAAACATCTCTATGAAAATCATCACTGTGGATTCCATCTTATCCCTCTAATACTTTGTCCATGTTTTCACCGAGTTTATAGATCTGTATTATATGAAAGTGATTTGTAAAAGCAGAGTGCAATAAAACACTGGCTTACCATCTGCAGAAATAGTACGTGGAACCGGCGACTATGATGAGAAACAAGAAGATAAGAATCACAGTCAAAGCCACATACTCTTTGCTCAAGGGCTGGTGGACGGTTAAAAAGAAGTGTTCACACCGGAGACCAGTGTAACCCACTTCACACCTAAAGGGAAGTACAAGAGGAAGATCAATTATTTAAAAAAGAAATCATGGTTATGAATCAGTTTCATAGGAACTAACTTCACATTGCAAAGCAAGAAATCAACAAAATTTGCTAGAAGCTGTAAAGATGAATTCAAAGACTGAGCCAGTAGAGTTGGGCCAGTATTGGCAAAAGGGGCCCACGTAGCTCTTGGGCTATATCGTGCTATTACAATGACAACCTGGCTCAGCTGCCGGGGTAGCTGATCATCTACAATGGTGTTTTGTAAGTTTGTGGGTTTAAGATGCCTTTTGTCTAAATCAGTGTAATCAATTCATAAAACAACGGCTGTGGAAGTCCAATGGAAAGATGGAAAGCAGAGATGCTGTCACAGTAGGTGTGAGAGGGAGGGATCTGAAGCCCTCCCCTCTCTGTACCCCTGAAATAGCTGTATGATTCGAAAGCCCCTCTTTGTTCCCTAATTTTAAAAAACTCAGATAATAAAGTTTCTAATAATATATATATATATATATATATACTGCATCCTAACAGATCATGGAAACATAGGGTAACTTCAAAATACAGAACAGAGAAAGAGAGAGAGAATGAGAGAGAGACAGAGAGAGAGAGGGAAATATACCTTTAAAAACGGTTTTCATTTATTTCTGGCATATTACCTGCAGTAATTTTCACTCATGTCCACCAGATAGATGCACTGTCCGTGCAGACAGTAGCCGTTCATGTCAGAGCTGCACTTTGTTATGGACACTTGAGCCACACGTGGGTTGTCTTCTGTCTGAACTGTGAGGGAAGCGGAAAGCTGAATGTATTCTGTTGCCTTCTTGGAAGCTTTAATCACCCTTTCACAACAGTAAGCACTGAGCTACTTCAACCGAACAGGGCAGATGCCAACCAGTCAAGGAGAATTTTCAGAAATAGGAAGCCATTATCATGCTCCCTAGACCGATAAACAAACACCTGAACCCAAGGAAAATGTCCAACAGACTAAATGAAACAAACCAATACTTGAGGATTCAGGTCTCAAACGACAAACTTTAAGTACAGAAAAGGCAAGTTTAATACATACACACATCATTATCTGTCACAGTAGGTATCATTCACTTCTCCAAACAAAATTTGTCTGATTTTTTCAAGTCTCAAAACAATTCTGAAATTCATTACTCTCCCCCGAGATTGCAAGCTGAAACCAATATTAATTTGAAAGCGCTTAATTTCTATAACAGGTTTTTATGCCAGCAAGTCTTATTTTGGTGTGCGTTCATAAATTGTTGAGGTTACCATCAAAGAAACCAGCCAAGGTCCCCCACCATGTCTGACAACGAGACTTGAACACGACCTAGACAAACCCCGCGTTAGAAATGCTTCTGTGAGGGCCAATAAGCCAATAAAACAATGAAAAAGAAATCTCAATAGAAATAGTGTTGCAGCCTACATGTGAAATTCACTGTAGAATGTCTTAGTTACTACAACGTGAAGGATGCTTATAAAATTATTTTTTCAAAGTATCTTGATGGTGATACTCTTGCCCAAATAACCAAAGAAGGAAATAAGGGTGGTAGGGGAGGCTGACCAAACCTCCAGGGAGCCCGGTGGTGAGGGACAAGAGAGAAATAAAGTTGTTGTGGAAAATGTCCTGGTTTCTCAAGATGACCCTTGACTCAATAGCTCAGACTGAATACGAAGCAGGTGCCCCTTAGACCACATCCAGGATCTGCAGACCTTAAAGGAGAAACTGTGCTTTACTTTTCTTTGTATCTCTCTGCCTTAGCCCGGTGTTTGGCGCGTATTAAGTACTCCCCAAATGTGTTTCAGAATGAACACTGGGACTGGAAAGTAAGGACATCATTTGTTCCTCTTACAAATATATATATGTGTGTGTATACGTGTGTGTGTGTGTGTGTGTGTGTGTGTGTGTGTGCATATATATAGAGAGAGAGAGAGACAGAGAGATGGACAGAGACAGAGACAGAGAGAGAAAGAGAGAGAGGGAGAGAGAGAGAGAGAAATTCTCCTGTGTACAGAGGTTTCCTGTTTTCTCTGGAATCCAGTCTGTCGGTGTGGTTTCTGATGATGCTTTTGCAGTAAATCTCCAGGGAATGGTCAAAGGGAATCTGATTTTCTTTGTTCTCTATCTCTTCAAGCTTAAATATTTATGTATAATTAGATGTCTGGTCCCTCTCCCACCATTTATACCTTTATATATTTTTTTCAGAACCCTAGTTCATAAGGTAGTTAAAAATTCATACAGCAGCTATTTCTTTCCCTCTTTTTCATTGTCACATATTTATAGTTTCTGAGTTTGCATTTCTGTTTAAAAACGGGGACTCCCTTGATGCACCATGGACCGTGTTGGGCTTACCTAAAGCTGTGCAGTTATCGTTGGCTTCTCCTGGGATGCATGATGGAATCACGGTTGTACTGACAACTGCTTGTAGGAGATGGAAAGCTGTTTATGGAAGAAAATCAAATATGTAACTAGTGTTTCAAGGAAAGAAAGCTTGATAAAATTTCCACATAATGACAGTATTTATAAAGTTGTTTTAAATGTTTCAAGGATTTGATCCATCAAAACCGTGAAAGAAAACAATTCATGGAAACAGGCATATAACTGAAAATAAATGAAACCCAGCTCTTCTGTCCAAGGGTAAAAGCCTTGGCATTATATTCATAGTTACAGAATTATATTCATAGTTATAGAATTGATCTGCTCTGAACATTTCACAATAACATTTTCAAAGACCTGTTGTTAAGTTTAATTTCCTAATAAGCCTTCAGTTGGAGAATTTCCAGTGTTTTGCTCCAGAGTGATGCTCCAAGGTAGACCCATCACAGAAGAAGGCTTCAAATAAAAAATCAAGTTCTACTTACGATAACAACCAAATGAGAAATTCAACCTCAGAAACATTGATAATTGATGTAAGTGCCTAAGTTACTCCTTGCACTGTATTGCTTGTGAAAATAGATTTTAATGTTTTTTTTTAGAGATTGGCGGGGGGGTCTCACTATGTTGCCCAGACTGGCCTCAAATTTCTAAGCTCAAGTGATCCTCCTCCCACCTCGGCCTCCTGAGTAGCTGGTACCACAGGCACAGACTGCAATTAATAAAATGTAATCTGAGTGAAATCAGAATATATCTTATCTAATGTGAGAAGAGACGGGCATGGCAGATGAACCACACCGAGCCCTAGAATCCAGTTTCTGTCAGCACAGGCAGAGTCTGAACCAGCTGTTTCATCATGTGTCTCTGGTGAAAAGATAAATTTTGGAAGCAAGCATCGGAATGGCTCAAGTAGTTTCTGAATTGTACAGAAAGCAGGATAAAAAGCCCTTCGATTGCATACATGTGTACTTAAAAGCATTTAGCCTCTTCTGTTGAAGCTTCAAGTGTTTGCATTTGAACACTCTTTCTAGTCTATGTGAGTAACTTATATCATAAATAGCGACAGTGGTGGTGACAGTAGTCGCTAGCAGCCGCGAACGTTTCTTGGACAGGCACCGTGTGCCAGGTGTGGTCCTCTTTGCCTTATCTATATTATGTATTTAATCTTCCCAGTGACTATTTGAGGAAGATACTATTATTATCCCCCTAAGACACATGAAAAAACTGAGACATGAAGAGTTTAAATAACTTTTCCCAAGGATACATGTTGTTAAATGGGCTACGTTATAGAATTGGGAGATAAGCAATAATATTCGAGTATGAAGACATCACACAGAACAAACTAGGGTGACTGTAATTGAAGCTGAGTATTTAACCCCACAGGGAGGTAACAAAGTATGGTAGAAAGGCAATCTTGTGAGGAAAAACTTGAGCTATGTGATTTTGGAAAAATTAATTAACTTCTCTGGGTCTTAATTTTCCCTGTCTTTCAGAGTTTGGGGGAGAGTGAAAGGAAATAATATTTTTCTGAAATGCCTGACCAGAGACTCTTTGAAATGCTCCTTGACTCTCAACTTCTATTGCTAGCTAGCCTGTTCTAGCAGTGTATGTGGGTAGTGCCCCCTACTGGTTTATAACAAGGATGTAAGTCTCCGTAAATAGGTATTGTAAAAGATGATCTAATCTGTGTAATACAGGAATTTTATTTTATTTTTTCTCAATCAGAGAGGGCTTGTATCTGCTAAGCATATTGCATATTCTTTAGGTCCTAAAAACTAAATTATACATCAACATCAGCATCATGGTTTATATTTTCATACTTCCTACATGACACTTAGAACAATCCTGTGAAGTAGTTATTAGTCTCAAATAAATAACCTCAGTGCATTTAAATTAAATATCTTGTCCAAGATCACTTATCTAGTGAACACAGAAGATAAGAGTTAAAAATCTATCTTTTGACATCGTCTTATATCCTCCCAACACCAAATGGCTATTACTACCACATGAGCACCTTAGTGTTGATCAGTTAGTACCAATCTGATGGTGTCATACTCTTTCAATGATTTGAAAATACTGTTTTCTGTAAAGGTTTAGAACTACCCCCTCCCCACTCCACGTTTTTCCTAAAATATAAACGTTGCTTCAGTTGTTATTATAGACCAAAAAAAATATTTTTCTTAAATGACAAAAAAAAATGGCTAAAGTCTAGATTTCATTGTCAGTTGAACAGAGATGAAATCCATTTTCCACATAGCTTCTTATGGAGGATTAGCTAGATTCTCATCCAAGTCAATGTTGTTTTCCATTTCAGTAATAATTTTGCCATACACTTTCGCTGCTGAAGAATTAAACAGTTTTCACTCAATACAAACTGGAATTCTCGTTGCATTCTTGACACTGCTATGTCTCCATGCTTCCTCAACTGAGGAAAACTTTGGAGACCACATTACTAATTCACCTACAGGAAACTGCTAGCCAGGAAAAAAATGCACATTGGAAGCTAGTTTCTCTATCCTTTGCAGAAACCCAAGCCTAGCCTTTTCTGTTTAGAGTTGCTTACAACTGCAACCTGTAACTATAATAGAATCCAACTAATTGTTTTGGGGTGTTGCTTTTCCGTCTTTTTTTATAAAGGTTTTTAGTAGTTGTTAGTTTTTCCACTGCTGGAAACTTTGTTCCAGTTATTCAGGCCACAGGTGAAATATTTGTCTTTGTTAATTAAAGAATGTTCAGCCCAGGGTGTGCCTCCACGAAAACTGGGCTTTCCTTACCTGTGACGCTTCCTTGGACACAGTCCATAGTTCAAGATAGTTTCTGTGAGACTTGCTGCATTAATCCTACAGCAAGCTATTTTGCAGATGGAATTGTAAATAATTTTAAATGGTCCCTTCAAATTAAAGAATATCCCTGCAGTTCCATCGTGGATGGGCGTAGCCAAAACCCAGCAAAATTGGTTCTAAATCATGTTTCCATCTGTACGGCTCTATTGCTTTAAAGCAGTGGTTCTCGAGTGTCTCTCCAATAAGCCTCTGCCCCAGACTCTTGCAAACTGGATAGAGGAGTGAGTGGGGGTGGACAGAAGTTTGAAAAATCCACCCACAGAGGATTACTATGTCCACCATCCATTCACCCTTACGCTACTCATTATTGTAAAGTCATACAGGGAAGAAATAAATGCTAAAGTCACGTCCATATATTCCTTTAATCTTTCAGTATTTTTAATGCTCTTAGCATTATTTGAACATAATCTTTTTATGATTCAGTTGCATATATTATATTTGATCCTTGACAATGGATCCCTGCTAAGAAAATAATTCACTATGATACTAAGTATTTTGGATAGTGTCTGTGTCAAAACACGTATCTGGTGGCAAGCTCGACATTGCTAACTGGGACACAGAAGAATTGAGTGCAAGGGGACATGGTACAGCTGCTCTATACACTCAAAACTGGCAGTTGGGATGTCTATTTCAATATAGCTATAAAAATCAAAATGCATTCAGAGGCCATTATTTCTGTCAAATTTCCAAATGGGTTTTAGGAATGTGTAGCTCACCTTTTCATCTCTCTACCTTCATTTTTTCAAAGGTTGTGTTTCAGTGAAATCTCAAGTGTGCCAGCAGGAAGTGATGCCAGTGACTCACAGGATACAAATCGCCTCTTCCCTGTGAGTCAGGGCCGAGCCTCACGCTTACACAACGCTGGGGACTGCGCGTGGGAGAGTTCGAGTGCCATCCCCGGAATGGGGATAGCGCTAGATGTCGTGGGCCCTGGTGGTTACCCAACAGTCAGACAGAATGCCAGATAAAGAAAATGTTCTTTGTATTGCATAGAGTTTCTTTTGACCTTGCGTCCTAATGGCCACACTGAGGGGCCTGTCTAGAAGGAGGCAGAGGGGGCTGGGATTCCATGACTGGTTGACCAAGCCAAGTCAGCAAAATCAATTGCAAATCTCAGGATAACATTATTCCTCTGGAAAACAGTCAAGCAAATAAAAATGATTCAAAGTAAAATGAGATGGGTTATAGAATGAAAAGAGTGCACCTTATTTTCCCAATTTTAAGCTTTTAGAATATTTAGACCAGAACAGCAAACTCACAATGAATCATAGCATTTGCCCAGCCCAAACAGATAGCAAAATCCGCTTTGTTCACGCTTTTGCTGTGGTCACACGCCAACCTCCTCACAGACTGTTAGTTTTCTACCTTCTTCCACGGCAGTCTGTAATTTTAGGATTTGTCTGTTATGTAGTAGGCTTGTTAGGTCTTGTGTACTTTCAAGGAGCGAACATGCCTTCATTGTTTTTGGATGTCTTTTTACTTTAAATTAAATTCCACTATTAGATATGGTCTTGCTTCACCTTGGTTAAAATAATTGCAAACTCTTTATCACATCAAATACTAAAAAGACCTGCTGTCAGCACTTTCTAGTAACAACCTACTTTTCAGAGAATATATATATGTATACACATATATCTATAAGTGTATAGAAAACTAACCTTGCCTTCTACCAGGAATCATTCTATTCCTGCAATTTTTTTAATGTTAACCTTATAACTAAGCTTCATTAAAAACTAACTATAGCTATTTGAGATAAAACCTTATGAAACCAGAAGTTCATATAATAATAGGTTAAAAATAAGTATTTCTTTTAATTTTGAATTTTAAAAGGCAGACATAGGATCTTCCTTGTCAAGTGGCAAAAAATGATTTACTATGCCATGTTTTCTAACTCATAGGCATTAAATCATATCCCCAATTTTGGTAATAATTTCATACTTCAAAGTGTTCATGTATTTTAGTACTCATATATTTTACTCATATATTATCATACAATACTATACTCAAAGCTATTCAAATCAAGAATTATTGAGTTGAAATATAAGGGAATTGTCTATTTTATCCAAAAAATGAATTTAAAGATGTGTATGTTGTTCACAATGGAAGTATTTCCAGAATGCTGGAGAGTGTATACCAACTCTTGTTGTGGAGGGTACAATTTAAATTAATCTGGGTGTTTTGGAATTGTGTGACTAAGAGCTCCAAAGACAGAGCATACCTCCC